GAAAATGTTTCACTGTTGTTCACTAAACCCCATAACAGAACGGAGAAGAGAGAGGAAGATACGAGAAGAGAATAGAAGAACAAAAAAGGAGAGAAAAGAAGAGAAGACAAAAGAATTTTTCGGATTTTTTGAAAAGAACAGTGTAGAGTAAAGAAGAGAAAATGAGAAAAGCGTAGTGAAAAGCAGAAAAAAGGAAATGCGGAAAGAATTTCCAAAAGAATGGTCCCCATTATATAAGAAAAAATATATATATATAATTACATATATATATGTAAATATACATGTAGGTATCTTAAATAGATCCGAACATTTAAGATCCGTTCCATAAAATACTTCTACTCGCTGTACAATGTGGATGCGGGTTTTTTGCTTATATTTCTCCTAAAAATCTCTTGACAATAAAAGTATCTCATTTCCTACTATTATGTAAAACACCGTTCGGCCACTTTAAAGTCAGTCAGATATATTAAAAGGTTTCCATATAAATTGGAACAGTCACTCCGCCAGTTTGCAAGCTGAATCCTACTTTAGTATCGTACATGACCTGGAATAAGAAATATATGTATGTATGTATTAAAACGCCGGTTTTTTTTTAAAGGAGCGTTGTACTTGAAATCAAGGGTTCATCTTATGTAAACTTCGTTTTTAAATTTTACAATAGAGACCCTCCCTGTTTATTCAAAAGCTTATAGAACTATTTTTAGATAGTGATAGTGCTGTCATTGTTATGAACGAAAACCTCATGTATATGAAAACATACACACGCGAGTTATTTTTATTTTCGAAATAAATTGCATAAAAAACTCAAATACTTCCTATTCAATAAGATTAACTTTGCAAACGCATTTCACAACATTCGATGACACCTAATTACCAGACGAAATTGTGCCCAACGATTCATATGACTTCAATTAATAATTAACATGTATTGCAAATGATTTGTCTAACAAATTAAACTTATGATAAAATGAAAAAAAAAAAAAAAAAACTGAGAAGAAAATAGATCACTTTTTTTATTCTATTTTCATTCATTCAAATTTAGTCAGCTTTTCTTTTATGAAATTCGTAACCTTCATGTTAAGCATGTTCAATTTGACCTATCTTTCGATAACGCTTTGTGTATATGCTCAGTTAACTGAAAAATGCATCTACTCGGTCAATTTTGTGTTCAAAATTGTTGTTAAAGCAAGTTTCACGCGTATCCGTATGTAGCTCATTAGGCCTGTTATGGTTTGAGACTTGTCTATTTGATAGTATTATCGCTCAAAAGATCTGCATATTCAGTCTCAATGGACATAATAACTGTCTCTTCAACCGTATATATTGATTGACAGCGTGGAAAGTATTCAATGTGATATGACATTTTACTTGGCTCGCTTAGAACTCGGTGATCAGTTTGTGGTACTATTTCTTGTGGTCTTCGCATTTTACACAATATCTAAATGTCATTTATTCAGTTTTCTCCGTTTGATGATAACGATGATGATGATGATGATGATGATGATGATGATGATGATGAGGATTCACATATTTAGCGTAGGTGGACAATTGCCGGCAATGTCTGTTTCGAGTTGCAGCAGATCTCACGTTATGCTTTGTACTTACACACATACAGAATGAAAATTGCCTAGAAATGAAACAATAAGCAGACACACCAACGGACAGATCACATTTCAAAGTCAGTGCGGCCCCATGAAATATGAACATCCCAACGTATAGTCAGCTTGCAAGTTAGTGAGTTCGTAACGATCGCCGCCAATCACAATCCAACCAACAATATTTTTCTTTTCTCCTTCATGCAACTAAGCAAGTTGGCCATAACTTGCGTGTCTCTTGCCAATGATTGTGGCTATGTAATGCTGGCACTGCCACCATCATGACGATCGTATTGTGTAAGAGGAGCACACATAAAAAGCATGAATATATGGGAGTACAGTTGTCACTTGAGTTGGTTGTGTTCGTTGTCATTGTTGTTAATAATAATGTTGGCAATTTATATGCAATTTTGTATTTAATTTGAGTCGCCACCACCACAAATTTGGTAAACTTCATTCTCAGTTTTCTCATTCAAGCAATATGTACACTACTACTAGTAACATCGGCACTACCGCCATCACCATACAATAAATATATATATATATATATATATATATGTTGTTTTATTTATGCTGCTGCATTAAGTAGCTTGCTGTTTAGGCCACATCGCATAATGCACTAAGATTGTTTATTGTTATTCAGCGCCTTTACAATCATATATTGCTTTAATTAACACTACATTGTCTAACGTATGTGTCTACAGAACAGACAACAATCTATGGACAGATTTTGACTCTCACGCGCCCGATTGTCTGTCTTATATTCAAAACTTGACATGAGCTGTCATATAAACAAACGGCAACGTAAATTAATATCGATCATTCCGGCAGACATATGAAATGGTATTATATCATTCATTGGTGCATATATTTGTTAATTTCATATAGACATATATATATTTATATATTTATATATAGGTTGTTTTTCTTCTTGCTTACCTAACATTTATTAATTGGCTGTCAATGAAACCCAGACTTTTATTTGTCACCATTACCATCGAGATTAAAAATTGCCCGTCAATTTTAATGAAATCAGTCATTGCCCTGCTGTCGTTTCGTAGAATCCTTGTACAAATGCGTATCCGGAAAACGTTTAAGATCGTGGCTTCATGGGCAATTGTCTAACAATTGTCACTGCCCACTGGCTGCCAAATGCGTTTTCTTAAATGCTTGTGAAATTGATATAGAATTGACATTTGGAAATTATAACAAGAAACAACAGCCTATTGCAAACGAAATACATTTTCCTAAAACATTACAAACTTTACTTTGAACAGTACGAGTTTCGGCCGATACTTAAGATTAACTGTTGCTAACTCTTATTAATGCTTGCGCTAAATTCCGAGTTAAAGTTAATTGAAGCAAAAAAATAACTACAATTATAAAAAAAAAAAAAAAAAATATGTTATTCGATTTGAAACCACCATTGCTTTTAATTCATTATTTATATTTTGTTTTAATTTATGTGATTACAGATTTCACTACATTTTGAAAACTTAATCTCCGTCTGTCGATTTCTTAAGAAACTACAAAAGCAATAAATGATTCTGATCATCTAAACGTACGATTAACGTACGATTTTTTAATAAAAGAACGGATGATATACAAGATGTACATCTTTTCGCATCCATCGCTGGAAATGAACAATATGCAAATTTTGCCGTTACGACATGAAAAGTTGGATACATCAGACGGAGAGCTCTCTTAGAACTAGCCGTCGAGTATGTTAGTTGTCTAAACTTAACTTATTATCATCAACAACTTCAAGTCATTGTGCGAATTTCGCAGAATATTTCCTTTAAAGTGAATATCACGCGGAGACACACACAAATGGCAAATTGTCTTGTCGAAGTTCTGCAATTTTATATCACGTGTTACTAATGCAAACTGTTAAATATTATATTTTAATTTAAAAATAGGCTCATGCGATCTACATTTTTCATATAACATTTAGAAGACCGAACACTGGAAAATTTTCAAAATTACAAATTTTTTTCATATAAGAACTTTCTCAAAATTGTTAAGTATTTAGCGTTTGCTACTGGACTTAAGGAGCACCGGTATACCAAATTTCGTTAAAATATATTAAAAAAAATGAGATTAATAGGTTTGCTTTGGGCGAAGAGCGAACGTTATGGAAAATGTTTCGGATCAAATCACTTTTTCACAATTCTCTATAAAAGACTTAATTTTGACAAGTCTTAGGGGCGATGTAGAATGGACCGTATCCCACTCTAGTGTTTTCATTTTGTTGAATCTCACAGCTGAAAAGCGAAAGTTAACTAAGTAAAAAATATTGCAGTTATATAATGTAATTTAGAAAGATCCACACATCGTTTCTTTATCTAGTGAGGTACGCCTTATCGCCATACGCCATACTAATAGAAAAATAATTACAATTCATTCCAATTCATATATTAAGAATTTATGAAACGAACTTCCTTCCTGCGATTCGTAATCGCTAAAAAGTTAGGTAAGTAATATCAACTAGAATATCACTACTTATATATAGTTTGCGGTATAGATGAAATACTGGAATGTTTTTATTACTTGCATAACAATAATTTAACCAATTTTTTGAGGTTTTTCGTGCCATTGATTCATTTTTGCGGTTTGGATGATTTAAACTTAATATCATAAGCACGGTCGTGCGCAATATAGCTGCGAAACAAGATGTTAAAAACAAAAAAAAAAAAAAGCAGAAGAGCTGGAAGTCTCTAATTTGCATGGTTTGAACCGAATCTTTTAGTCTGTTCACATAACGTCGTACTGATGACGACCCTTTTGAAAAACAGAAATTTATTACATTCGATAAATGTTTGCCTCGTACAATCACAAGCGTTCCCCTGTTATTGAAAAATATTTCTATTAACACTTAACTGTAGCTCCATAGCATCCTTCAATATCCAAATTTAGTCAGGAAAATTTCATATAAATCAAATGCTATTGAATTTTATTTATTTTACTTATTTATTTATTTTTTTTTTTTTAATTTTACATGTTATCCTAACATCGACGGTCGGAAAATGGAGTGAAAGCTTTATCCAAAGCCTATTTTCAACTGTTGCAGATCAAAAAACAAGGTTAGCACACTAGTTTTGCCGTTGAATAGAAAAGCAAAACTAAAACACAATTCAGTTTATTTAGTCGCATTCATTATTCGCTTTAGTGTTGAACCATTTCCTACACCTATATGTATATATATATATATAAAATTCGCGAGCATGTCATTGTCATAATTTCAAAACCGACCAAAAGCACATTAATTAAATTTTATTGTTGATTGTTTCCAGTTCGTTAAATGGCTTTTTTTTTTCTTCTTTTTTTTTTGTGGCGTGGGTATTTGGCTTAGTAATCAGTTTATGGGAATATATTTAATAATCACCATTGAGTGCTATTCGATGAGTTGTTTATGTTTAGACTGTTTTTCGGAAGTTTGAAACGTTTAGAAAAGTAAAATGTTTCATTTCATTAGCTATAAACACATACGAAAGCAATGAGTAGGACGTTTTATTTGGGTTGTTTAAAGCGCAAAATTTAACTTGAAGCCTAACTAATAAAATTAACAAAATGTATTTAGAAAAAGAAAAAAAGGAAGAAGCTATTTGCGTTGCTGTCACTGTTGAAAATAAGCAAGATATAAAAATAAGAAACACAGAGGCGAAAAAACGAATTTATAGAAAACTACAGTCAATGTCTACGTATGTGCATACAGAAATTCTGATTGTGCTTAACAACAAAGGTAAACAATAATCACATCTAATCATCATTATTATCCTCATCCTCACCGTCATCGTCACCCTCAACACCACCGTAATCATCATCATCACCATCACTATTACCATTGCTATTGCCATCGCCGTCATCATTATTGTCCCTCATCATTTCATTCACTGTCGTTGTCGTTGTCGTCGTCGTCGTCGTCGTCATCGTCATCATCAAATTAAATCAAGTAGAGGAGAGAAGAGACGAACGGCAGAATAAAGTGCTGCAAGTATGTATATCAAAGTTGATTGTACTTATTGTTATTGTTAGCACTGTTCTACTTGCTCCTCGCATGTTTGTCGCTATATTGTATCATCAACACCGCAGTAGGAACAACATCATCACCTGTCGCAATTTGGCTGTGTAAGCAGCGCAGGTAAGTGTGTAGCAATGTTTTGACAACTTATATATATGCATATATGGGTAAGACTTTTCGCCTTAATGATCAGACAGTTGTTATTCTTTTTAGTGCTGCTAAACAATAATGGTATACGCGATTTATCATAACGCTTGATGCATTCACACATTGCTAAAAAAATGAAAAACAAAGAGAAATTTGATCACTGATTTGATTTCTTTACTATTCATCTTATGCCTTCCTTAATCCCCTTCACTCATTCGTCTCGAAATCGGTACTATTTATGTTTGTAATCAAAATAAATTTAATTGTTTGATATCGGGTTGTTTTCCATTTTTGCAATTTGAATTTTTATTCGTTGCCGTTGAGAGCTTTTAGCTTAACTAACATTTGAAACTTGGATGATGGGTATCTTTAGTTCGTCTTAAGGAATTTACGAGATATTCCAACTAAAATAAACACATTTTAGTTTTGATGCTGATTAGAAAATAAACAATGATGCGCTTCGCAACAAATTGCATTATTATAAATTGACATAACAAAAATGACTTTTTGAAAAAAATATTTTAAAAAAATTTAACATTAACGGAAAACAGAAACTCATACTTATTTATATTGTTGATTCTAACTTGCAGTTTGTCATACCGACACCGATATGTCTCCATGGAGATCCTTGCGAAAACTACGACGCACATATTTTAATCAACCATGCACAGACGTAGTCGCTTAATACTTTCGTGCTGTTGACGGAGAGATAACATTATATCCCATATATATCTCAAAAAATGTTGCATGACATTCTCAGTCTAAATCGTCAAGTTCGCAAAAAAAAAAAAAACTATATTTGAAAATATGCCTACAAACATATTCGCAATCATGAGAAAATTTATATTCAATACAAGGCAAATAATATAACGAATAATGCAAAACATTAAGCAAAATTAAGCAAATGCTTTGTGTAAATATGAGAAGCCCTTGCAAATAACAAATAGTAAATATTTAGGTGGTGGGTATCTAAGATTCTTCCCAAGGCAAACATTGATTTCATGTTTGTTTTCTTTAGCAACTTTTCACGTCTCTATGCTTAGCAGTTTTTTAAATAGTGAAGTTAACACTTCTATGCTTGTATGCTCTTTTATTATAAATTTTCAAACTGTCGTGAATGTAACAGGCTTATGTTCAAGAAGACAATATCTACATGTATGCACATAGGGTTCAGTGTTAAGGTTAATCCAGAAACAAACCATGCACTGCTTTATTGTTAAACAATTAAGATGCCTAGATAGAAAACCATTTCTATAATTTTTAAAACAAATAGAGTACTCCGAGCTTAACGAAGCATTTCTTTGGAAGCACTTCTTAATCCAACAAAATTATTTATACAACATTTTCGGAAAAACTGTTACAGCACAATTTTTATTTGTAAAATCTAAGGAGTGACTAACTGTAGTGGTGCGTTTACACGGAGAATGATTTCGAGCGAAATATATGTTATGATGAATAATGGAAAAAGGGGGAAAAACTAAGGATTAAAAAAAACAAAATGTTGGACTCTTAAGATAAAAGCAACCCTTCCTTCTATCTGCCCTTGCAATTACTTCTAGAAAATATACATTTAAAATCTGTGCATTTTATGTTTTGCTTTCTTTTCCATTGTTGCTTATAAGGAACATATTTTTTTTTTTTTTTTATACCCATCACCGAAGGATGAGAACTATACTGTAGAGAAACCTTCAGAATCTCTGTAAAGTATTGTTACGAAAATGCCGTATTTGATGGTGTCGCGATGGATTTAGATAATGATAATTTGCTTGAAAAAAGGTGTTTAAGCAGAATATTTCTGGCAGGCAAAGTCAGTCGCAAAGTGAATCGAAATGATTAGTCGAAAAGTTAGTCGAGAGAAAGTCCAGTCAAGAGAATTGAATTGCAATATTCGAACGGACAAGAACAAAACGAGAATCGAAGCATTGCAAATATGAGTTCCCGTAAATAATGCGTAAATAGACCTTCTAAGAATTGTAAATAAAACCCATACTATCTTAAAAATAACAACTCAGCGGTACGAATTTAACAATAACACCAGTTGAATAATAAACATTAACTCGCAAAGGACGGTTTACCTTACAGTGCCGACTTTCTTGATCAGCACTAAATACTAAACCGATTTAAACATGTCCGTATGTCTGTCTGTCTGCGATACACATTCTCTTGGTCGCAAAAACACAACAATCAGCTTCAGAATTAATGAAAACATTGGAAGTTCTTATACCCAGGCTAATATAGAAATTGGGTCAAAACGCTTAATGAAGAGAACCGTAAAATAATATAATCTGAGACCACCTTCCCCTTTAAAGATAAAAAAGAATTTGGCTTTTTACTGGTTAGTTATAAAGTACAATAGCTACCACGATATATTTATATGTAGCACGTGAACAACGGCTACGGGCCACGGCTACTCAATATTATAGAACATCAAAATTTCATTGTTTTATCAAAGTGTTTCCAGCATTAAAAAAGAAGCCAACATATTGTTAGTCAATATCAAATTTGAATCGTTCTAGAAATTATTGTCCACCCGTCTGCCGTCTGTCAGGGAAACTTTGGAGGCCATCACTTTGTTTGATATACCTCAGCATGTGGCTTTCAATCAATAGAAAATGTTAACTTTCAGTTACAAATCTTCCCTGTCCGACAAAAGCATATTTTGGGACGATTTTTTATTAAGCAAATAAAGCCTACGAAAATAATTATAAGTTGCCTTCTGTCGATAATTTGGCAAACAAATACCCTAATTTCCAAGCAATATGTGTTGCTAAATATATATAATAAATTTGAAGAATCTTTTAGTTTTATTTTGAATCTGATATACAATTTAAGTTGGCAATGAAAAATTTTAAAAGCCGTGAAATATTGTTGGACTTTTTATCTTATGATTGCTGTTGCAGAACTTAGTGGTATTGTTTTCGTCGCCTTATCGAAGAGCAGCAACAATCCTGAACGTTTGGCCGTAATTTTTAAATCCAGCTTTTATTCGATATTTGAATGATGAGAATCATTTTGAGAAAAATATGAGAAAATTGGTGCAAACTTACGATGGAGCCCAATCGAGAAAAATAGCTTCTTCAACAAGTCTCAGAAGGCGGTATCGCTATTCCCCTCAACGTCGTACAAGTTGACTTTTGTTAATCACTGATTTCAGCTGATCCCCGTCCAGTTCACCTCTTTTCGCTGCTCACCATTCGGCTGGGTACATGCCATTTTACTTTCTTTAATCCATGTCCAGTCCTGCTTCTGGTCCAGTTAGACTGCGTCACGAGCCCGTTCGAGTTGAAGGTTCCACAACGGAGCCGGTGATGGCGAAAGAAAGAAATTCCTTTGAGAATGCCAGTCAAAAGTGAATAATTGAAGTATAAAAAAAAACTTTGCCAACCTAAGTTTTTAAGAAGGATTCAATTGATATTGTGCGCTGATTAATAATTACAGATAAGCCTTGACTCTACTATCATATATCGAAAACAATACAAAAGCTAAAGTAAAGCTAACAAGAGCGTGAAGGCTATTCATAAATCATATTTGGAGTATTCTGCGAAAATTTTCATAAAGCACTTTTTAAAGAAAGCTGTGAACTGTAAAGGAAGAAAAGAGAATGTACCCGCACGCAAAGGTGTTCCGTTAATTGAAAAACTAAAACTAATATGGAGAGCGGGTATGCGAAAAATCAATTTTAATTAACTTTAATTAATATATTTAACAATATATTTGATTTTTTTTATTGTCATAGGATGATGCCGCATAGCGTATTTTTTTTTTTTTTTTTTTTTTTTGCCATGCACTTAATTAGTTGCGCGCTGATATATATATCCCAACAGCGAAAAAGCTGCGCAAAGAAATGCAATGGAGTGCAAATAACAGAGGATGACTACAACTTACTACTAAGAGCGTTTGGAAAAAGTATACAGCTGATCGGTTTTTTGTAATTTTCTAAAAATTATTTTGCAACATTCACCTGAAAGGATTTCAACTTTGCTTTAGTTTTTTGAGATCAAGGATTTCATTTCGATACAAATGTAGACGCATAGAAAATTGAAAGCGTCGAATTGATTCAATTTTTTTTTTTTTTTGCATTAATATGGCTAATCAGCCAAGAGATGTTACCCTTTATGTGCAGCTGTATGTGATGATCAGTAAAAAATTAGGAAAGAGACAAGGAGTGCCGTTCTCAGTCCAATCATCAAATGTTATTTCGTTACCAACTGAGCACTTACTATAGCTACAAGCACTGCATCGTGTACCGGGTTGAGATATAAACCCGCGAACACCGATTTAGAGGTCGTAGCTCGTTATCTACTCGGCTAAGCAGCTGGCAATCCCCCTTGCAGCCCTCCTATCTCAATTAATTTGTGCTCTCATTATTTACAGCTTGAAAGCATCTAATGCAGCGTAAGCAAAAGTGCGTCGACCGTCAGAGTCGATATTTTGAATAAAAAAAAAGTTATTTAAACATTAAATTTTTATATGTTTGCTATGTTTCTAACATATGTATATACCAAACAACAAAAGTATGTACAATTTTTTATTAAGTTATTATAATTTATGTATACGGGTTGTGGATATCGAACAAAGTTTTATTTAAATTTGAATTCTTTGCGAACAAAAAAAATTCTGCAAAATTAAATACGGTGGGCGTCGTTAATGGGTATGGTAGTGCGAACAAATATATCAGCCTCCGACTGCAAAGCAAATGTGCAGTGACGATATGATGAAGCAGTCATTCAACACGCAACAAAAACAAATGAGTACTGTACACATGCAGACAAGCACACGCACACACGTTGGCACGAATCCAAACGGAAACTTATAAAGCAGTGATCGCGAGTTTGGTAAAAAAAGCAAAGAAAAAAAGTCATTCGCGATAAGGAACGGTTTAGTGTGCAGGCAGCAAGTGTGTTTAACAGCTACATTTGTGGTTAGTTCTTTTTTCCCTCATTTTAAATGGCATCTGCTGCTGTTGCTGTTATATCGTTTTTGTTGTTCAATTTAACCAGTTATTTAAACATTTTAATTTTCTTTAGCTACATTTGTCATTTGCTGGTGTGCTTATCGGAGAAATGCCAAAATTATCACAGAACAATTTTAAATTACCAAAAACAGCCGAGATGATGGTTAAACGAAATATCAGTTAAATACCAAGGCAAAATAAAATGAAAGAAAAAACAACAACAACGAAAGAAACGGACTAAAATGGAAAATGAAAAAGCAAAACAATATTGAAATACTCTCAGATATTTCTGGTATTTTTCGCTTTTACTCATAAATAAATAACCAGAACCAAAGAAAGAAAGAAGCAATAAAAAAATAAAAAAAAAAAACACTATATAAATAACTTCATTTCTAATTTGCCAATCTTTAGTCGGATGTTCGATGGAGCTTACTACGCAAACGCACCGTATATTAATTAGCTAAACGATTACTCATGTGTACACTTACGTACTGTGGCACTTAACTCATGGCTATATTTGAGCGTATTATCGCTCAAACATGTTGAACTACAGTATAATCAGCAATAGCCGCAACGACAGTCTTATTTTAATTAAGTAAGTGTATGAGCTTTTTCATCTTGATTAAACGGTAAAGTAGTAGTAAAGCAATGTCTGAAGCGGCCACTACCTTACAATTCTAAATTTTAAGCGCCTTTCCCCTGGCCATTAGCTATATAGCTTTATGAGACTGTGTAGCGTTGTGTGTCAACGCCGTGAAATGCAGCGATAAGAGTTTTTCTTTAGAATGTCTGCTATGTAAATTGTGCGAACTTAAAAATCGCGTCATGCTTTTGGCCTGGCGATAAACTAAGAATTGAATGAATGCTTAGCATCTTTGTGAATCCGAAAATTGACTCACAGCTAACAGCTTGTGCTGCACACCACACAACATTTTACTGCTCTCTGTCAGCACCATCGCTAGCACAACATTAGCAGTAAACATATTCTGAGTGTTGTGTTGCTGTTTGGGTTCTGCGTGCCATTTGCGATATAAAGCTGTCAAGGTGCGCATTTAAGTTTCAAGTAATTTTGATAGAAATTAACTCAAAATAATTTCTCGTCTTATCGCGTCCTCTTTGAATACCTATATACATATATGCACATATATGCATAAAAACGGACAATGC